GCGAGAGCGTCGACTTTTATTCGTAACGTTGTGCCGTAGCCCCGCCCGACCTCAGCGGCGGCACCAAACAACATTCGGCTACCAAATCCTGCGGTATATTCTCTTCATATTTATCTGCCCACCCACCCTGGCTCGGCGTTACGCACAGGCACGCACTCTGGTCACAGGATGCGTGTTTTCGGCAGTAAATACCACCCGTCCCACACCTCTGCGCCACGCTGCTCGCAGAGATCAGTATGTGCACCGTCGCCACTTGGGAGGGTCTCATATGCGACCTAAGTGCGCTCCGACGTACGATCGTCTTCAGAAGGTTTCGGCAGGCGGGCACGGTGATGGTAAAATGTGACCCAGGAGGACATGGTAAAGTGTGGGATGACGCTCGCCTCTTAGTGGGGACGGGAGGGGAGTGCAGAGGTGTTTAGCGCTCTTGCAATGTTTCTTTGATGATCGCTGCTTTTTTATTGAGGGACCTTCACGGAAAGTGATTTTACGACAGGGTTGGGTTTGAGTGATTGTGTCGTATACGTGTGTATGAAATTGAGCTTGCACCTGTCGGTTTCGTGATAGACGTAACCTTGCTGCTTGCTTTATAGCTGGCCCACGTTATGTTACCGATGGCTATCAAGGTACAGATGCGACACTCACATTAGCCAAGTTTGGATCGCGTATTCACAATAAGATGGTGTTTGATAACAATTAGAACGTTGGTTTTGATACCATCTAGTGGTATAGACTGTGACAACTGCATCTTAGCACTTTCAGTAGCTGCTTTATCGCAGTTACAAATGCCGAAGGGTGTAACCCGATATCGTTGCTCGTTACGCTATTGTGCACCACGTGTCAAAGCGCCACCAACAGTAAACCTGGCAATAAGATGACCGTGCCGATAATCTCTCCATTAATACCAGCCCTGTGTGTCATTGTAACAATGTTTGCTATGGCACAAACTGCGCCATTCTTGTCGCCCGACCTGACTGGCCTTTGATAACCTGCGTGGTGACCTTCTCTATGCATGGCGTGCCATTGTTGCCTTCGCATATGTGCAACGCACCATTCTTTATCGTCGCTATTGTTCTGTATCGTTGGTAAGACTTTCTTTCAATGGTTGGCGCCACTGTTACACTGACAGCATTCTGACCCGGAGTGACAAAGCCAGTGATGACCATTGACCAACCCACATTGCGTCAGGCGGGCCCTGCGGTTGCCATGGTTACGGTCGTCGCGTGTCAGGTCAGTCAGTAGCACGGTCTGCAAACGGGCTCTGAAGCGACAGCTCGGATTGGTCTCACGTAGCTGCTGTTCTAATTTGCACCGTACGCACGGCCGTGCCTTAGCTGTAAACAGCGCTTACGTCGCGCTGGTCGTGCATATACAGTCAGGGTTGGTCTGATTGAGCTGACAGGACGAGCTGGGACGTGGTTTGGGTAAACTAACTTGGTAGACTAACTGGGCCGACTGCGTCAGCCGACTGGGCTGTGACGAACATTGGTGACCCAGGACTGATGCAACGTCGAGCAGGTCGAGGTGGAACGATGTATTTACGGCGACTTCCACAACTATTTGTCGGCTTCCCGTTTCCGTTTTTCGTTATGTACCTATCCACCTCCCGCCTCTGCTTGTCCAACTCTAACCTCCTGCCTCCCGCCTTCCGCCCTCCTCGGCTTAAAACCCCACGGCAGTCTAATCACTCTTCATGGAGATGAGCTGCTGATTTCCGTGTATTGGTTTTCATATCAGCGCCCCCGGCTCCACACATTACAGTGTGTGAGATGAGAGCGAAACAACGAAATGGTGGGCGCGGGAACAAACAAAGAAGGAGCGAGGGAACGAATGAACGAACGAACGAACGAACGAACGAACGAACGAACAAAGGAATGAACGAACGAACGAATGAATGAGTGAACATCGCACACGATAACCACCTTGGAACCTGGGGCTCTAGCGTTGATTCCAATCAGTTGGTTGCTTGTTTCTGCTATCGTAGCTGGCTATCCTTATTGTGGGATTACGGGTTGGTTTATTATTCTGATTAACGAACCACGTTCTTTGTCATTTTCTCCTGGGGAATCACAAACAGCTGAGTTATGGTGGCACAATAATAAGGCATCTGGGCGCTGAGTGTAGCACGGAGGTGTTTGCCTGACCTTTGCCTGTAGAGGTCGCCGTTTCATTGCCGCATCAGGTGCAGGCTTAAATGTCAAGATGATGTAGATATGGGGATAATTAAACGCCTCTGCTGGCTCCATAATTGCTGACATTGCACTGTCCCAGAACACTTTTATTACTCTGGAGTGAAATGACGCTGGATTTATCTTTTGAATACGCTGTCTTTATCTCCCCGAAATCATAAAATGTTTGGCTGCTCTTTTGCGTGAAGTGACGGCCAACAATTTCCTTAATTAAACTTTTTCACGGTAGGTTTCCTTCCAAAGTTCTTTTGCAAATGAAAAGCAAACACCTCTCATTTTCCGTTCGCACTCTATACGGCCACCGTCCCCCAAGATAGCTCAACTGGACAACTGGAGAACTTAACTGGACAAACTGAGCAGTCTATACCAGCTGCGCCAGCAGCTCCAGCCGTCTGCAGCTCCCTCCTTCATCCGACAGGGCTGAGGGTTTACAATAACTGCGCCCTGGGCTGCAGAAGCTGCGTCAGAGGCCGCTCACGTATCACGATGCCCGCGGGCGCACAGTAGACCACGCACAGTGTGTGTTCACAGTCCGGGGGATTCGGAAAATCCGCAGACCTTCCTCCTATAGGGCGTGCGTCTTCGCCGCTTGCGGGTCAAGCGTGATCGAGCGATGTTAGGAGCGTATGGGCGAGCTCTATGGTAGGGGTTTGTGAGTTTTGATATTGGTGCATGGGGGATATAGTTATCTCAGCCTGAATTCATTTTATTTTTTGCTTCATTGGTTGTTGATAGTTAACGTTTAATGACATGCTATTAAAACCCAGTCTTGCTACCAGTGTTTAAATCAGTCGGGCTATCTATCTAATTGTCTGTGTTTTTGTCTGTGAGGTGGCTGACGGCCGAACTGACCGGCTATTACACGCTCGGCTGCGGACACCGCGGCCCCCGGCAGTGACCGGCAGCGGGGGCCGGTTCCGATCTCGAGCGCCCAGCAGCGGCCGCTATCCCGACAATCTACCGATACGGTCTCTGGTCTGCTTCACGGCTCACCGGGCCCGGCTAGAGTAAAACTGACAGATCCAGACAGTTTTAGAGTGGGATGGCTCAGGTGTAAGCCTGTAGGCTTAGGTGAACGTACTTTAAAAAAATGTTATTTTATATTTGGCCGACAATCGACATGTCTAAGTGTAACGAGATTTGACCCGCGCCCTGCTGAGGGGGGTGTTTGAACACCCCCCTTGTGGTTTTTCGCGAATATCTCAAAAACGGCGGCGCGGAGCGCCGCCGTTTTCGGTGCACCTTATCATACATCAATTCTACACATGTTGTGAAAATTTCAGACCAAGGTCATTCAAGGTCAGGTCACCAGGTCACTTGAAGTGACCTCACCTCATAAAAAGTTTCAATGTCTGTCATAGCTACACCGAATGGCCGATCGCTTTGAAACTTTCAGCGATTGCTAAGAGCAATAGCATGTACAAAATGTATATCTCAGAATTTTGATATCGATGACCTAAGGTCAGGTCAATTTTGCGACCTCCCCATTATAAGTCAAAGGGAGAAAATTGAAATGCGCCTCTTTTGGACGAAAGACATTATAAACACTCCCAAACACCGAATTACAAGTGGTTTAGACACACTGAACATGAAAATGGTGTCCGTGACCCTTGTTTATGTCCTGAGGTCATCTTAGGTCACGAATGGTATCTAACAGTTTTTCGCAAATAACTTTTGATAGAGGCATGCTAGAGCGATGAAAACGCCTTAGATGTGTTCAGCTCGACGATACGGATCGACTGATATGCAACATGACCCTTTCCGGTCAGGTCATGACCTTGACCTGAGGTCAAATTTTCAAGTTGACCTTTCAAGGTCACGTTATAGTTCATTCGATGCGTCTTGACGAGAGAAACACGATGCCGGTAAAAGTAAGCTTGTACAGGGCTTGGGTCAAAAGTTATTGCAGAAAAACTGTTTCCGAAAAATCGGCTATTTTTGTAGTTTTTGCTCCCTGCAGGCAAAACCGTTGACGTTAGGTCAAATCTGAGAGAATTATTCAGAAAGGGCGTTAATAGGGCTATCGAATGCGCTTTTCTGCGGCGCTGTAGCTCTATTGGTTCCCGAGTTATGCGTTGGCTTCTTGGAAATTTTCGACATTCTACCTGGAAATCGGCGAAATTTTGCCTTCAATGACCTCTGGTGACCTGACCTTTGACCTGACCAAAAAATTGACCGAAGTGATTTCGTCATTATTTTTGACGCTCTTTCGAACGCCGCCTTCCGCGTATCGCTACGTGGCCCAGGAGCCGAGTTACAAGGGGGGGTGTTCAAACACCCCCCCCCCCAGCAGGGCGTGGAAATCCAGGACCCCCAGCCGGGCGCGGGTTAAGAGTGTATGGGCTGGAATTGAAACAGAATGAATGGTAACTGGTGCCTACAGACGAGAAAAGTTTTAGCTTGTTTTCAACTGTGAATGGCAAGTCTTTGGAATGGTTTCCTTCTTTTACCATCAAATTTCGCTGTAAAAGTCCAGCTCATAGGCACTTTTTCATCACCGATGCTGCATTAAAAAATATGGTTGGTGGCAAGGCACGTCTTTTTCATAAGAACCCAAAGTCAATTCCTCCAATCAGCTCTCTCTCCGCATAGCAAGCGATTACCTTATCTTTTCTTGGATTGTGATCGCAAACCAAAATTAATTCCACATTTGTTTTAATCACCCCACCGCTCACTGATTTGTTTGATGACGCGTTCCGCCTTTCCCCGTCTTTCGTGTCCAGACTTCAGACTGGAAGCGGGGCCCCGGACGGCGCCGGATGACCCCTGACCTGCGGCGCCCAACTGACCCAGATGTGCGCCTTGTTTCAGACGGCGGCGGCGTGAGGCGACCTCATGGGGAGCAGCAGCATCGCGGCACCGGCCGGCAGCTGCCCAAGGTAAGCAGAGACATCTAGCGGCGGTAGTGGGAAGCGAACACCTTGCGGCAGGAACGGGAACTAGTAGAAGTTAGGGAAGCTCGCCAGGTGGCGCGGGTGTGCGCTGTTAAAGGGACCCTCCCACCTTCAAAAAAGTTAATGAATTGGCATGAAAGTGATGCCCCTTGGTTCAGAAAGAGCGAAAACGAATATCTACCAAATTTCACCGAAAAATGTTCACTGGTTTTCAAGATATTAGGCTTTTACTTTTGTTTACTTTTTGGGATCTCCCCTGTTACTAGCGACTTTATTTGGAAGCAATAATTTGGCAGCCCTAAAGTGCGGCAGACGTTGCGCGCAAAGCAGCGTATACCACCACGTGTTAACGATGGTTTTAGTCTAAGATTTAAAAATCGTTAGATCTCCGCTGACGTCACAAATTCTAAGGGGCATTCCAATGCATTAGCCCCTTAGAATCCGAAAACTGCAAGTTTGAAATTCCATATCTTCGAATTAAAGCATTTTTCGATGTTGTGAGTGTCCAAACCGGTATTTGCAGGTCATGGCCACCAATTTGGCTATCTCAACTCAAAACTAATGTTAAGGTGGGAGGGTCCCTTTAAGCCTCGGTCAGGCTCGGTGACGTGGCTCTGGTTTGTGTCAGGTGCAAGAGCACTTGCGTTTATCTCCCCCAAACGAAAAACTCAAGCAGGTCAGTAGTAGCCAGGTTGACAACTAATTCAACAATCGAAGACCGAAACTTTAGCATTTGGCATGTCAATTGTAAAGAGCTTCGCATGCTTGGAAATAAAGTGTGAAAGAAAGGTCCCAAAATCAAGGGCGGCGCCACCGTGGGGGCAGTGGGGGCAGACTGCCCCCACTGGCAGGAGGCTGTGGGGGCAAGACTATGTTTTTGCCCCCACAAAATTTGGCTGATGTATGAGAACAGAAGACCGGTGCAACATTCATTATAGGCGGTTATAATAGTACTCGTACGCCTGTTTTTGACGGTCCTCGTATCAAGTGCGTCAGCAGAACGTTCGTTCTCGGACCGTCTGTCGCATATCTCCTACTCCCACTCATTCTCCTACTCATTTTCATTCACCAAAAGGCTGCCCTCGAGCTTGATCTCGAGGAGGTTGAGAAGCAGTTTATCAAAAGTCGGCCAGAGAAGAGATCACCCTCTTTTGGGAACCCTTAGACTGAGACTGAGCTCAGAGAGGTATGACAAAATGTGATGGGTATGTATATCCCGCGGTTATCTGGAATTGTATGTGGGTCGCCCTAATGGAGCTTATTCTCGTACCTATATCAATCGTATGTGAGAGAATCGCACATATATACGTACTACGGGGAAAAGGATTCCGATCATGTGCATAACATTCAAATTCAAGGTCACGATCATGCTCAAAATTGACCACAAACTTTGCACTTTTTCTTATATATCTTGTATACTAAATTCCTAGATGATTTGATATGTTTTCAAGCTTAGCGGACCCCTATTTGTGCTTTAGCTTACGATACAAGGCTGCTACAAGGTCAAAGTCACAAGAGAATATCCTTGCTAGAGGCTATTTCACTATTCAAGTCAGGCATAATAATTAAGACATGTTTTGCCATACTGAGGCTCTAAATGAATGCTTACAGCAAAATGGATGCCAGAGGCCCAGAATCGTGACTAGCGGCTACGAAATCATCACAAATGACCTTCCATATGTAAAAAAATCAACCAAATGTCATTCGAGGTCACATGAGGTCAACATAAAACTTTACCTTTTCCAAACAATATATATGTCATTCGACGCGTCTCGACAAGACTAATGCGAAGGTACCACTGCCGTAGCTCCAGGACCATTTTTCAAACTAACACCTCAAACTAACACCGGCCAAATTGCCCCACACCCCCGGCCAAATAACCCTGCTAGTGGGGCAATTTGGCCGCTTTGCAGACCTTTGTAATACGTCACAATGTCAATATAAGTAGTTACTCTATCATGTCAAGTTTACTGTCCAAGAAAGTAAAATGCATGCCACACCTGTCAGCGTTGAGAAAATGCAGAAATATGTTGTCGATTTTTAGTTACCTACATCGTTTCCTAAAAAAAGCGGCCAAATTACACCACTCTCCCCTACAGCAAGTTTCGTCTTTCTATCCCTAAGCGTTCGTGAGGTATCGCAAATATTCGCCAGGGGGAGGCGAAAAACGCCCCCCCCCCCTCCGGGCCCGCGAGGGTTAATGGTTAAACTCAATACGCCTATGCATGAAACCTGAAACCAAAATAATTTTGAATGACAACATCTAGGGACAAGGTGCTCATGGATTTTGCAGATCGGCGTTATCAGACAACAGTCGGGTCAGTCTCAAGCTTGCCCCCACTGGCGAAAATTCGTGGCGCCGCCACTGCCCAAAATATTAGTCAACCTCCCCTTCTGCGATCTTTGCATAGTCCCTTACACTTAGTATCGAAACAATATGAGACATGAAATCCGTCAGATCTCTACAAAATGCACGTCATGCAACAACCATCAAACTCAAAACTCCGTCGGGCAATGACAGGACCACTGCATGCCGAGATAGCGGCTGTCATTCCGCCTTTAAAGTCCGCCCCGTTCACCGATCGCCGCCCTATACCTCCGTCGGCGGGCCGTCCTCCGGCGGCGGCGCGCCCGACGTTCGTACCCGGCGGCGCGTCGCTCTCGACGCTCAGACGGTATCCGTCGGTGTCGACGAGCGGCGGTGACGGCTCCGTCGGTGTCGACGAGTGGCGGTGTCGGCTCCGACGGCGCTGGTCGCTCCCCGCGGCTGGACCGCGGTCGGGTCAGGTCACCGGACAGAGCCCCCGGGCAGGTTGACAGGAGGGGCTGCGGTGGTGTGGTCAGTGGGGGTTGTGGCGTCCTAAGAGGGACAGTGGATTGGTGGACGGTACGGTGGACTGGTGGAAGTGGATCAAAGTCCGCCCCGCTGCTGAGAGGACAGTGGGGTGAATAATAAAATAAAACTAAAGCGGCGAGAGTTCGTGCGATAGACAGTACCGCAGTTTTTATTTGCTTAGTGTTATAAGGCTAATAAGTGATTGCGAACAATATCGAGTAAGGTACGTGCTGAACATAGCTACCTGCTCGAAGACTGGAAGAACAAATTCAACCGCATCAACAAGAGGGCGAGGAATTGTGTGGCTAAAAACGAATTAAGCAACGACAGACTGGGTCGACTGAGTGTAGTGAAAGAAGGCTGGACCTCGGGCTTAGCATATAGTGCTCGGAGTAGTGTGACTGTATCCTTGCAAGAGGAAGGACAGGCGACTTTGCTAGACACTAATTGGGGTTTGGAAACAAGATTTCGGACGCGACTGGGTGAGTATTGGACCGTCCATCCGCTCTGTACTTGCCGAAAAAAAGCTTGCTTTATACAAGCTGCTGACTTGATAAGGCTGAAAGTTGGCTTGGAGTGTAATGCTTCGAGAAATAGTTTGTGTCAAGTTCTTGCTTGATGACATTTGACTTTTCTTTTTTAGGACTCAGCTATGATAAAATTGTTTGTTATGCACGTTTGTGCATGTGTAATAGGCATGGGTGTAGGAGCGCCAAAAATATTGGTGAAGGATGTCACCTGAACCTTCTGAGAAGGTACAGGACCTTTCCGCAGTGGGGGGAGCAATTTCGCCAAACCCTCCTGTTTTTTTCTTCCCAAATACCTCACGCCATTATCATCTAATTAACGTCAAATTTTCAGTACTTGCCTAAATTTGAATTTTGCGTCTTGCCATGAAAGTAATGAGTAAATCGGTCTGCAACTTCCTTTTTAGTAACAGGGGTGTAAAGTCAAAAATCCCTCCGGAGTGGCGACGCGGGCAGTGCCGGTCGATTTTCACTGCCGGTGCCGGACGGTTACGTCTTTGCGTTGCGCTGCTTACCGCTGCTAATGCTCGATTCGCGTTAATACAGTATATCATTAAGTTGCATATCATTGCAAACTTAAAAATGTACGGACTACAAGCAATGTTATAGTGAAAGAAATACGAAAATCAGCCGGTAACATTTTGAGTCTCGTGTGTGCAAAGCAAACACAAAACTGTGACTGAAACGCTTCCCGCGTCGGCTGTTCCCGCCTCAGCCCGGCCCCGAAGACATCTTACTCAGAAGAGTTTTAGCTTCTAAGTGCCATCATTATGACTGGATTAACTATAGATTCTCAATATGTACTTAAAAGGTATGTGCAATCTTGTAGTGAGAGAAATATGAAAATCTGCTGATAACTTTTTGAGGTATGGGCGTGTAAGCACAAAATAAACCCTTATCTGGAAAATTTAAGCAACGGCTGACCTCTTTGACCTAAGATATTTACCTAGTGTCATGAAATTAACACACAATAGTTCCACACTAGTGGTGCCAATCGGGACTTGGACCTTCGGAATTCCGATTTTGTCCTCCAGGCTCCAATGTCCAATTCGGAATTTGATTGTACAAAGGCAGCACGCTTTTGACAGTATTGGACAATCACTTGCTACACCTCAGCATTTCTATTAAGTGATCGTGCATAGCATTGATTGAAGAATTGAAAGTTCAGCTCAGCTCTCGATATGATAAACACTTTTGGGCTGGTAATAGTTAGTTCATTAAAACCAAATTACATGACCGTGCTCAGTGTTAATTATTGCGTACTTTTCGGACATCTTTCGGGACAGATGACTGGCTTGAACATCTTTGGACGGAGAGTTGACTTAACTGCCGGACGTTGGACGGACATTAGACATACATTTTATGCAACTGGCAACACTTTTCCACACCGTCCCCAACCACCCTCCGAATTTCGTCTTTTTGACTTCCGTAGGAGCTGAGATCTTGGGGTGGCGACATTCGCCGTCCCCTTCCACTGGGCATAGTTCTCGGAACCCTTCCACTGCGCATGTTAAACCTACCTACCACCCGAAACTGTTTCCCATTGGAATTCGAATATTATTTTGTATTTCACAAAAGAAATACGAAGCCTAAAATGTTTGAGAAAAAAAATCCAAAACCCC